GTTGACTACAGGACACTGTAAACTAGGGAACCATGCTAGAAGACTAGGTCTTCCTTTCAACCAAATCTGTCGTAGCTGTGGGGAGAACGATGAGAGCGTATCTCATCTTTTGTGTTTTTGTCCAGCTCATGCACGTCGGCGATTTAGTACTTTAGGAGCCCCCTACCTTGAGGACCTGGACCAGTTACAGGATCTGGCTTTAAATAGCATTTTATGCTTCGCAAAAGGTTCTAGGTGGTTTTAAACCCTGAGTTTTTTATTATTTATCATATATACGGCATCACAATGGGCCAATAGGCCTAAGTGGATCTACTAGGGATCACCGGTATAACCTAACCTAACCTAATGTAAATCTTATGGTTCAGTGATAGTTAAGGAAAGACTGACGGAACACCTTTCATGGGCCTGAATCTATGGTATGATCGAAGCTGTTGTGATTGCATTTGGTAATACATCATTAGAAGATTTTATCTTACATTTTTTTACCTTCTTTAAAGAAGTTTTAAGTCTAAAAATTAATAGACCTATTGCTTTCTTGCTTAAAGGGATTTCTTTTAGCTTAAAAGCGATTTCTTATGCATTTTCTGCCATTAACTGTAATTTTATTAATTTTTTTTCTATCTTGTTTATATCAAAGGAAGTTTTCCTTCATATATTTTTTAAGTGAAAACTTTGTAAAATGAATTATTTGGCATCTTGTTCTTATGCCAAAGATATTATACATTATTTTCCGAGAAGTTTTTTAATTTACACTTTTCCTACGCACTAAAATGAAGAAATAATATAGTTTAAACAGAAATTATGTTCAATATTACTGCCTTGTATTGTAAGGACGAATGCAGTACCAATACACTGTAAAATATTTTGAAGAAAAATACTGTAGTGCTGTAAAATAAATATCTACAAAATTTATTTATGTAATAATTTAACAGCTACCAATTAGTCAGTTTAGAATCCGTATCTAAATATTGTATAGAATACATATTTTTATAAAATATTTTTGGCGTTTTTTTTCAGTGTATCATAGTAGAGAAAAATAACTTGTATTAAAGTAGGACGAAATTTTTTAAAAAAAACAAAAAACAATATCAAGGCAGTATTAAATTTCCATTTTTTTCACAATCTTCCCTTTAATGAAATCCTGTACTTACATTGGTTCGCATGATAAATTCAGTTGCAATTTTTACTGACCAAAAGTGCACAAATTTCAGAAAAAAATCCAAAAAAAGTTTTTATTTAGCCAAAAAAAAAAAATTTTTAAGTATAAGGACATGAATAGTGGTTAACGACTTTTAGATATGCTACTAATGGGTTAATGTTGCGAGTTGTCAGTCTTTTTAGAATCAAATTAAATATGGTGTTGTAAAAATGAATAATGCCTTAAAGCTATACCTAAAATTATGTTCTAGTTTATAGCACAGTATATGGTATATAATACTATATAAGTAATATGTATCGTATGGTTGTTATATGTAAAACATATTCATCAATATTTTAATTCCATGCATATTTCATAGAACAGTGATATTTGATAGATCAGATTTAAGGCACACACAATGGTGTTCACCATTTCTTCGATGGCTCGCAGTCCCACGTCGATTCCATGTTTCTAAGCCAGAGATTTGCAATTAAATCTTTCAGTTCTTATGGCTAATGGTATCTTGCATATGTCCACAGGATTAAAAAAGAAATTCTTTATGATTTAACTCGCCTTTATAGTTTAAAAAATTTAATTAATTATTTTACATATTCTTTTGGAATATTTATAGTCTCCAATATATTTCTAGGATTTATATTATAATAATAATAATGAAAAACAAAGTAAATTAATTAAATTAATTAAAATCTCATCGAATGCATATCAGTTGAGAAATATTCACTTATTTCTCGCTGTGTATTTTCGGAAGCTGTAGTTGAAGATATCACATTGTTCTCGTTTAGAGCATTCATTTCCCGTCCATCGTGTTTCCTGAAGAGGGGTAATGTCAGCCTTATATTTCTTGAGTACATTAACCAGCTGTACAGATGTATTTTCTCTGTAAAGAATTCGGACATTCCAGGTGTATATTCTTAAACACATGTTCCTTATAACGTTTGCGTGTGTCATCAACAGTAAACGGTTTCCTTATTCGAGACTGACCCATCGTTTTAATTGGAGTAGTGTTTTTCCATTGTGGGTTCCAAGCCCCACGTATAACTTCATATATTTATTAAGAGAATTTCACTGTACACATTAGTTCACAACACACGGATGATTGAAGCTATACAGAATAAATCAGGTGGAGGCTGTGTTTCAACTTGGAGAGAACAATGACAAGGATCGCTCTGGTACTTTATCTTGCATGTTCATTGCCTCCCCCCTCAAATAAGTAAGTATTTTTGGATCATATATGTGCACGAAAACACACCAACGTATATTTTTCCCGACTTAAGATCTGAGTGATGAAAGCCATATTCGTTCTACAGACCGTCTACAGCAACCTATGTGAGTACTAAAGCACATATATCCCACCTGTAGCTAAGCAGGAATATTAGAGGATGCTTAAAAATTTTTTATGAAGAACTTTTGTACATCTATTATTATACAGATACTGCGATTTATCAGATCTATGCGCTAAAACTTTGTTTTATGAATTTAAAGTTTATATTATTAAATAAATTTATGCTTCCAATGCATAATTTTTCGAATATCTTATGATTTCTCATAATTTATTTTTTATATAATTTATTTTTAGATTTATATATCCTTCTCATTTCAACTAAATAAAAAATGCTAAAATACTCACAAAATAGAGTGTAGCGCACAACAATGAAAGAAGTGTAACTGAATCCTTTAAGTGTTCTCGGTTTTGGTGTTCACTTAACTGAAATGATTGACATGAACACTCTTTATTCTTTAAGGTTTTATTAACTCATCAATTTTTTTCTTCCTATTCCCCCGCCCGCACTTGACACAACGCCATCATACAATCCTCCAATCACTCAATACTCCTCGATTGTTATTATTACAGGCGATTGTGTAGGAGCAGCGCAGACTGCAGTTAGTTGCAATTGTTGGTATCCTCGCAGGATATTCCATCGTGGTAGCAAGAAAGACCATAACTACTTTGTAACCAAAAAGAGCGTGAAAAATGCATAAATCTGTGCTTTAAGTAAAAGCTTCAGTTTGAATACTTTTAGTGTATTTGTGATTATTTGATTACCAAAAAAAACTAAAAATATTCTATAGAATTTAAAAAAAAAGCAGAGAAATATTTTTATATTAAAATTTTCTGTTCACACAGAACTTTATCAAGTCACATCTGTTCAGACTTTCAGATGACTAAACATTGTATTTGTTAATTTTTAATCATTTTCACATCATAAGAACTTAACATACAAGTAAGTTAATTGACTATATGTATGTTTCAATTAGTCAATGATTGAGAAAATATTCAGTACTCACCAAATACAAAAAAAAAGTAGTTGGTATATAAAGAGGTTAGTATATTAAGTAGTACATATCAATTGCCTATCCACATATAGTGAAAATAGGCAATAACTCTTCTAGGGACATAATAGAATTTTAAGCTGCTACGCACCTATGGTACTAAATGGGGTTGGTCACAATAATTCACAAAGGATGCAGTGTTGTGGTGACTTGGCTTCCAACCCTTTCAAAATCTATATAAATTATATAAAGTAAGATTTAGATTCACAAGACCAATGGTTCATATATAGTACAACGGTTGACAAAACGTAGTAGACTCATTCATAGATTAAGACTACTAAAAGTTAGAAAAATGCCAAAATGAATTCACGGAACAATTATTCACTAACGTAGGAGTGTATCTGGGAGATAGATAATCTACTTATCTATTTATAGTAATAGTAATTATTTGAAACTACTTCCATAATTATATGAATTACACTATCTATGAGCTTCCAGTTAATACAGGAGTCATTAAAAAATCAGCAGTAGCTGCAAAAGCTTGATTATAGTACCAAAAAAAAGGGAGATCTTATATAAAATGAAGACAAAATTAATTAAGTCAGAATGTTATGAAAAAACAATTTTAACTTCAGAAGACCTTATATATGGTCTTATCGACTCATATTTTCGATCAAGTCTTCTTTAGTGTCAAACATATCAAACCATTTCTAATAAACGTGTGATGAACATAAACACTAAAGAATAGATAGGCTGTTAGGTTCGCAGCTAGAAACTCACTTGGGTGATATTTTCAGTTAATTTCATTAGCATAAAAAATTTGAATGAATTAATCAAACAAAAGCCACCAGAATTGGTTAATAGTGAAGTCGTTTTCCATAATGATAATGCCAGCAATACTCATCTTTGTAGACACGAAACAAATTCACGGAACTTGATCAAGAAATGCGAAATTTCAAATATTTCCTAAGAGCACTGATCAATAGTATTTGGCAATATTCGAAACAGCGTTGTATGGTCAGCCAAACTTCAATAAATTAACTAAAATTTTTGTTGTTGTCTTTTCTTATCAATTTGAACCCTTCTAACTGTTAAATAGTTTTCAAAAGCATGATGGTCGATACTATAATTGCTGATTGACGGCAAATAGAGATACAAAACAAAAAACAAATTACCAATAGTCGTAAAGTTCTTCAATTTCTCTATACAGAAATATATAGAGAAAAGTATAAAAAATATAAAGAGGGGTTTTGAAGATACCTCGAGTTAATAAAGAGTAAAAGTGTTGAAGTGTTCTGGCTCAAATAGCTTGAACATAAATAAATATGTATGTATATCTATATATACATATATATAATAGATAAGCAAACGTTAGTTTAAAGCTCAAACGCCAATTAAGAAGGAAGAAAGTTCAGCTGTTCTACCTATATATGACAAAGTATGAAATATTACTTTCAAATAGAAGTCTTACATCCAAGTAACGAAGAATAAAATTAATAGTAATATTCTCTGAAACTTAAGTCAATTTTATTATTTCAATTATTCAAAAATATCTTATAATAATACAATTTAAAAATAGTTAAAAAAGTATTTATAATTTGGCAATATGGACAAAGGAGGACAAGATCCACATGCTCAACTCAAGATTGATGAAATTTATAATGCCATAGGTATGGATTGCAATAATAAACAGTAAAGCACATTCTGAGTAAATTAATTGTTTCTTATAGGAATGGGAAAAGCACACTTGTTAGTTTTAATAACAGGCGGACTTTTTGTCATGACTCATCATTCTGACAGTATGGGAATGTCCATTATTGCACCGTCAGGTTCTTGTGATTTGAATCTCGATAACTACTTGGAATCCGATTTAATGCAAAGTACTTTCATAGGTTAGCTTAAAGTACATTTAAAAAAACCCCTTCTTTTAAAAACATTTCACAATTTTTTTTCATTTTAGGGATGATTATATCAGCGTATTACGTTGGTTATTTGTCAGACGTATATGGTCGCCGTAAGGTCATGCTATACAGTTGTCCTTTTCATTTTTGTTGTTCAATTTTGTCGTCCTTTATGCAGGAATATAAGTACTATTTACTAATGCGAGTGATGACTGGGTTTTTGTATGTATCGAAAACATTATCAAATTTACTTAATACATATATTTAAGTCATTTCATATAGTTTATCTGGGACTGTTGTGCCGGTTTTGACATATGTTGGTGAATTTTGCACTAATTATTATCGTGCGGAAATTGTGAACTACACGAGTATGTTCAATGGATTTGGTATGATTTATTACCCTGGTAGGATATATTTTTGAACTTAATTTCTTCATTTAAATATTAAACATTATTATTTTAATCTCTAAAGCTATGGCGCATTTCATACTACATACAGATTGGCGCGTACAATATGCATTTATAACATATCGTCCATGGCGTTTACTCGCCGTAACATTTATCTTTCCAGCAGTTATTGGTTACATTTTACTTCTGCTCTTCTTACCTGAATCTCCTCGTTTTTTAATGGCCACTAATCAAATTGATAAAGCTCATGATGCTCTCAACTGGTTGGCTCAAAAAAATAAAGGAAAAACATTGGATGATTTGAATATTGAAAGGATTGTACCATTTCCAGTCCCAATTGTAAAACGAAAATAGTAAGTAATAATATTTTTTTTTTTAAATAAATGCATGTATGTGATATACGTTAAAAATTTTGATCTGATAAATTTTTATTTCAGTATATGGGTAGTGGATGTATGGCTAGATCTATTACCTATTTTTGAGAGAGCTCCTTTCATTGCTCAATTTATATTAAGTTGCATTGTAATGTTTGGACTTTACTTTGTGTAAGTAATTACTAATAATTTTTTGATATTATTAGGGTCGTATTATGTAAATGGTCATGGTCACTTGACCAAACTGTAGACTGTAAACCATATTGCATACTGTAAAATTGTGATGATGAGTCTTTCAATACTTCATCACATTGGTCAAAACAGTATTGCCCTTTCTAATTTAGGTAAAACTAAAAAGTATGGTAGCAATAATTATGGGTCATATTGCATAAAAAGCCGTACGACGAATTGTCGCGACTAACTTTCGCAACCATTGGTCAGAACGAAAAGGCATGTTGTACAGAGAGTCATATCACAATTGTCAATTTCCTAACTTTGCTACTATTTTGCTACACTTTTGCGTATTTTTGTATGAATAAGTTTATATATATACATATTTACTCCTAATAGGCGCAAATTCTGACATTTTTACAACGTGACTAGGCACAATAAGCGTCGTTACCGTGATCAAATTGAAATAGAAATTTCTTTCTTCCTCTCATATCGAATTCACATTTAATATGACCATGAATATCTTTATAACAGGACCCTAATTGTGATTTGACCTTTTGCATAGCATAAACAGATAGAACATACTACTGCTGTGACCATTCATCATATGACTGTGTACATAATATGGCCTTTAAAACTATAATTGCTTATTTAGTGTCAACGGAATTGGTTTTTGGTTTACCGACTTACGAAATCAATCCGCGTACTATAAACAAGTACATCTTGATTATTCAGAAAAGACCATGTGTGAAAAAATAGAAAGTTTTCCTTTTCGGGAAAGAAATAAAGAAGTAAGAAAATAATGTTTAAGTATAGTTTTGAAGAAATACAGGTTTCTTATAATATTTTGACAACTTTAGGTATGCATGGAATATGTGAAGCATTTCGAAGGAGCAATAATCACAGGTGCATGTTTTGTCGTTGGATACATTATAATGGGTGTACTACTACTTTATTACAAACGTAAAAAAATATTTACCTCCGCATTACTTATATCATTCTTAAGTGGTCTATCTCTAAGTATTGGAAAGGGTCCTTGGATAGAATTATTGTGTCCCATATTTTTTTTAGGAATACCAAATATTCTAGTCAACTTTGTTAACAGTTCTGTTATGGATCACTTTCCAACTTTTTTAAGGTACAATGCTACTTAAATCATTAATACATACATATGCTAATTATATATTACAAATATAGTATAATAATATACTATATATAGTATAAATGACCCATATAAAAAATGTTTATATTATTTAAACGCAGAAATAAAGCCGTAAGCATAGTATTGATGTTTGGACGATTTGGAACTGTTGCTGGTGCTCAAGTTGGTATCTATATTCAGTACAAATGGTGTTTACTTGCATTCACTCTTTTTCCGGGAGTTATACTAGGTTAACTTTCCATTTCCATTATATTAATATATATTTCACTTATTTTGTTTCAGCTTCTGCCACTCTCTCTCTCTTTCTTATGTTATAAATGCATTGAAGGAATACGTTCGTTCACACAAGAAATGGACCGATCGGTTGCAAAAAGAAATAATAAAATAATTTAAATATAAATTTTTATAACACAATCTATAAAGTTATAAATATACGGAATTTTATAATTAATTATATATGGTAAATTATATGTTCATATATAAGCATTTGTTTATATATATTAGTTAATATGTATATGAGGACAAAATAAAGTTTTTGTTTTGATCAATAAATTCGCAAAAAAAGTAATATACACTGGATTACCTACGAGGTTTAATTAGAAACCAATGAGAATATTGAAAATGCATGTGGTATACATTGTTATGCAAGTTGAGCATTTTTTATGTATTGGTTGCATTACAAGTAACCTATATCTTAACTAACATAGCTTGTTAATAGCGTTTATCAGTTTGTGTTTCATTATGGCGGAATAGAGAGTTAGTGTGAAAAGTTGTCGCATGTTTGCATTAAAAAAACGAGAAATAGAGCGCAGCGATTTGTTAAAAATTTTAAACACGAACTTTAGGGTCAATACCATGTCATATGATTTTATAGCTGGTAAAAAAATTTTCGGAAAAATCGGGAACTCATTAAATATATGTGACTTTTGAATGTCCGAAGATCTTCATTAGTATTAAATAATAGAAAAATTATGAAAAGGATTTTGTTTACTAATAGAAGAAATATCCTTTCAATGGTTTCAGAAAACCATTTCGAATGTTCCAAACAAAAAATGATAAGTATCAAATTTTGTTTTAAAACTAATCCATTTTCATTGAAAACAGCATCAATTAACTATAGCTGAGCAATAGCCTACTGCCGTTCTTTATGAATCGGAATTGCTTAAACCTTTTGTAATGGATGATAAAATGGTGGTTAATGGTTACAACATTAAAACGTTGTCTCAAAGAAAAAAGGACATACAATCCTTTGTTCTGCAGATTTTTCTAACCAACCTTGTTTTAAAAGATATTCCAAAAAGAAATTCTGTGGACCAACTTTAAGATGATGGACGGTGAGAATGAAATTTTTCCTTTCCATTAAATTTTATCAGCAAGACATGATACAATTGCTATTGATTACTGGCTTTACATATATTCTTTATTTTGAGATGGGAAAATTTTTGAAACAGCTTTATCAAATTAATATAATTTTTTACACCATTGATGAATGTAACCTCGTCACATATCACACGTATTCATTTAATATAATCAGATTAGTGTTGTTGACGATGGTAAGTATCAACACTATTTAGTGACAAAAATTGGCAGATACTTATTGCATTCCCTAATATAATAAATTAGTTGATATATAGTTGATAATCATTGCATAATATATAAGCATGATATCACAACAAATACAGTTATAGTATGTTCCCATTGCCATCATTAAACCAGTTTACTTCATTTAGGTCGCTAATGAAGTTGATTAACCGTATAAAGACAGCTTTCCAATTTGGTTACGAACAAATTAAGGGAAATTACACCAAAAATGTCGAATATTACAAAATATATTTCTCAAAGGGAAATTATTAAAATTTGTGATATTTGACATATGAAACAAAATGTAAAACAACAAGTCAAACAAGAAAAAGCTAAGTATTTTTCAAAATGTTTGTTTTTACGAATAAATTTCATACAGATTTTTTTTAACATTGTCCACATTTTCTATAATTAATTAATTTCTGCTAACAATATAATATTAACTAAATATTAACTAATAAAAATAAAAATGTAAATAAAAAAAGCTACGTTTGGACTTTTACAGAACTTTCTGACACATTCTCATATGCATAAATCAATTTATACCAATGGAAACGATCAAATTTTAATTTGTTTAACATGAATTAATCAAGCTGTAGTGGGAACATGGTATTATATTAATGACTAAATCAACTGATTCGTAATTTTTTCATTATTGCTTGGATTATTATGTCAAACGATGTAATTTTTAAAAAATATTCCATATAATTAAAATTGATGGCTGTAATCTAAAGAATATTTATTATGGAATCTGGGTCTGTTTATCCGAAATCTCAAGTTAAGGGCATATATAAAATCAATGATGTTAAGGTTATGATAGGTGAGTTTTTTGAATATTTAACAACAAAACATTTTAGTTTTTATTTATTTTAGGCTTCGGTAAAGCTCAACTTTTAATTTTTACAGTAGGGAGCTTTTATATTATATACTGTATCTGTGAAATTATGGGCATGGCTATTATATCTCCTTCTAGTAATTGTGATTTAAATATACAAAATGCAGAGCAAGCGGAATTAATGACTAGTACATTTAAAGGTAAAATTCTGTGATAGTGAAAAATATCACACAATAATACGTTTAAATACATTTTTATAGGATTAATACTTTCCTCCTATTATATCGGTTTCTTATCCGATAAATATGGACGACGTACTATATTAATTTACTCCACTTTGCTGACCTTTACGTTCTCCCTACTTTCTACCCTGATGCCTAATTACTATTCATATCATTTTATGCGTGTACTTACGGGTATCTTGTATGTATACAATTAGTTCTATGTCAAATTTTAATTTATAGACATTTCTCCTAGCTTAGCTGGACCAATTATAGTTACATTGCCTTATGTTGCAGAATTTATGTTAGATCAGTACCGTACAAAAGTGATGAACTATTTATACATGTTTAATGGAGTTGGTATGATATATATGCCCGGTAATTTATAATATTCACTGGCGCTCTATTTATTTAAAAAAAATTTACCTTTTAAACTATTTAAAGGTACTGCTCAAATATTGATTAATATGAATTGGAAAATTAATCTTATTATAATAACGTATCGCCCATGGCGCTTATTGGGTTTTATCTACATATTACCGGGAATAATAGCTCTTGTTTTGCTATATCATTTACCCGAATCTCCTAAGTATCTCTTAGCTGCTGATAAACATGATGAAGCTTTCAAAGTTGTGAACTGGATTTCTTTACGAAATAATGGTGTGCCACTGGAGTCTCTTGGAGTCGTGGGATTCGAACCACTTCTATCTAGGGACAACAATGTAAACCGGTAACCAATAACACATACTATAGTGCAAAACACGTAAACAATATTTACTTGAATATTTTATGTGTCAATGAATATTATAATAAAGTCAATCTATATTAGCATTTGGATTTGTGAACTTTGGTTGGATTTGCTACCAATATTTGCTAAGGCTTATGTGAAGCAATTTTTGCTTAGCTGTGCTACAATGCTGGGTTTGGTAGCCGTGTAAGTCAGAGTACAAATATTTTCATATAAACAATATATTTAAACTATTATTTTCTGACATTTATAAAAATTTTTTAGCGCTAGCGGTTTGGGTTTGTGGTATACGGACGTAAGAAATCGACTGCGTATATCTAACGAAATTTCTGAAGATAACGAAATAACTTTATGTGAAAGAATCTCGGAATTCGAATCAGCTAATATTACCTTGAGATTTGATAGTAGACCACAGGTATTAAGTGTAAGCATTAGCTAATTATCTTTCATTAATATATAAATGGTATTGCAGCCTTGTTTTGAGTATATAAAACAATTTTGGGATTCCATAACCATGGGTATTTGTTTTATAGCCGGATATAATATTATTGGCCTATTGCTTCTAATAACCAATCGGAAACGTATATTTATATATTCTCTAATTATATCTGGTATATGCGGATTGTGTATTAATTTTGTAACTTTACAAGTCCTAGAATTAATTTTCCTAATATTATTTCTGGTACTTCCGGCCATCCTGGTAAATTTTCTTAACACTTTTGTGATGGATAATACTCCAACTTATTTAAGGTGAGCATTTTTACTATTTATTACACATAATATATAAAATTTTTAAACTTATGTTTTTTCTTATACTAGAAATAAAGCTCTTAGTATTGTTACTATATTGGGGCGTGTAGGCGCCATTTTAGGTTGCCATATCGGCATTTACTTTTTGAATAATGTTTGCTTCCTGGTTTTTACCTTGTTACCTCTTATATCATTTTGTAAGTAAATATGTTTTTTTCGTAAGAGATACTAATCTATAATCTTTCTAGCTTGCGCTGTGTTCGCATATTATTTGAAGATATAATTAGCAAAACTTAGGAGCCGACAAATTGCATTCAATGTTCAAATTCGACTACCAAGATTCACTTTAATCCGACATAAATATTTATATGAATATGATATACTATAATATGCTATTCTATTATATATATTTACATACAATCTATATGTTGAAATATATTTCCCAAGTATTTTGTAGTATAATCAGTAATATATCTATTATTTAATGGTCTATTAATAACAAAAATCCCATAAGAGATGTTGCTGAGAATGTTGATATATCGGTTGGCACATGCTATGAAATTTTTGGAAATATCTTTGGTATAAAACGTGTGCCAGCAAGGTTATTTCCGTAATTACTTAATAAAAGAACTATCGCATGGAACTGAATGAGTATCCAAATTTGCTAAAATGGGTCTTCAATGATGAATGGAAACATGGGTATATGATTTTGCGAACAGAGGAGTATATATCGCAAGACAGTACATTAATTCCGGTGAATATGAGAAATTTGCAGTAAGTGAATTTCTTCAATTACAGTGCAGTGGTTCACCGTGAATTCTTGCCGGAAGGTCATACACACTATAACATATATTATCTTGAAGTTATTTTGAAGGAATATTATTGTTAGGGGATGTGGCACTGCGACCGTTGGGTCTATTGTGTCCCTTTCTGGGCTTAAAGTATGTCTCTGAGTCATGTTGCGTCTAAAAAAAGTAATATAGAACCTACTTTACAGTGTTTTATTACCTTTTCCGTAAGAAGAAGTATGCCGCATACAAAGAAATGTCAAGATTTGTTGAAAGATCACTGTTTCATTAATATAATACATCTGCTCACTTTGTTGCTTGCGCGTAATGTCTTGACTAAAAATAATGCCGTTATTCTGCCACATACCGGAATACCGAATAATGCCGTTATCTGGTATTCACCGGACTTGCTCTCTATCGACTTTATTTATTTTTCCAAAATTTAAAAGACTCATAAAAAGACAGAGATTTGCTATGAATGAAGAAATGAAGATCGTATCGGTGGAATAA